AGACTTGAGCAGATTAAAAAAAACCAATACTACCATGTAAACCTCAAAACATAGGAAGCCTAATTTCTTTATCTCACTGCAAAGACTACTTTCTGCAAACTATGTAATAATGGGGAGGAGGAATCAAACCCAGGGCACTAAGCATAGTAGGCAAAGGTTTCATCACTGACCTATACTTCTGGTCCCCTATTCACTTTTTAAAAAAATTATGAAACAAACTTATGTATACAAAAATACAGTAATAGTCATATGTACTCTTCCTCAGCTTTAACAACTATCAGCTGAAGTTGAAGCTTATCTTGCTGCAGCACTCCCTCTTTTCCTCAGTTATTTTGAAACAAATCCCAGACATCATGCCATTAGCTTCCTAGGGGCTAAATGCAATGGGTTCTTTTCAGTGGATGTACAGGTATCTGAAGTCCAAACAAAAGGTTTCAGGAAGAAATATAGATTTGAAAATTATGAACAAAATTAATATTTAAGTTACACCTTTGAAAGAGGTCAAACATAAATTCTTGGGAAACAAGATAGTTTCTATTGGTCCTCTTTCATTAAAAACATAAATAGACATAAAGCACACTTTTTCTACCAAGAAAGAAACTCTATTAGTTTACAAAGGCCTACGTAACTTTTATATCCGATGTTTTAAGTATTTTCCTTTCTTAAAAAGGGGTCTCTATACAGTAATAGTGACAACTCTAAAGGATTTAACAAAATACCCAAAACATAGATATAATTCATGTAACATCAAATGTAAACACTGATACTGTAACTAACTGAAAATCTACTTTTCAAAGTATTTGTTAAAAACTTGTCACTCCATGTATATTTTACTATTCTTTAAAGTATGAAAATCTGTTTTATAATTTCCTTCAGATGTATGTTTCACAGTAAAATTTTTAAGATAAAGTTTAAAAGAAATATGATTTCTATATTGAAATAGCTATGACAGATGATGGTATATCTTAGAAGCATTTAGAGCTTTGAACATACATAAGAATATTTGTGTACTAAAAATATTTTATAAGCTCTTTAGACACCAAGCTGTTGAATCAGAGACCATTTATTCTTACATCTTAGTTTTTACTCCATGTGTCAAAATTAGTTATGATTTATTTATGCCCCAATCCCCCTCAAAAATTGGACCCATGTTCCTTAAATCCTAATTTTACAATCCACTTTAAAAGAATTTCTAACATTTTCTAAAATAGTTTTCATAAGCTGTTTAATAAAGATTAACCTTTTAAAAAAAGTATTGTGACCTTTAGAATGGAATGTAATTTTGTCCCTTTGATTATATTAGCCACCAAGTAAAAGATCCCAGGGGGGTAAAAGAGGTACAATTTTTAGAAACACAATGGATTTTCAATGTTTAAATTTTGTTAGATTGTGATTGATTAACTAGAGCCTAAGTCTTTTTTGATTAGAAGGAACTCCAAAATATTTTAAGTACATCCTTATCTTCCAAGTAATAGTCCTAGAAACAAAAATGCAGTTATATATATTAGTAATGCGCACTTTAATTTCAAGTGCACCATACACTTCTTTGTTTTATTTTTTCCTCAGAAAGAAATGGATATATTTAAAAGCACTTTCAACTTTAGCTATACTGTATAACTGCCATTTCATCTAAATTACTGCAGAATTTTCAAATATTTTTGGCCTCTTAAAGCTTTTGAAGGACTGTACTTAGCATGTTTTAAGTAAACTCCAACTCAGTTTTTTAAACATGATAAAAGAAACATTGAATCAAAATGAGATTTTTCTCTCACCCCAAATGCAATTTTTTTCAGATACCAGTAAGTGATGATACAACGTGATGATTAAGAGGCATAATTGCTTTCTCAGAAACCATCTATTAAACAGCTCCCCAAAGCTTCAAGTTTTCAAAAGTACAGTTCAAACACCCAGCAGTATTTAAACAGATTAATACTGTGTATTGGAGATATTTTCTTGTCATCAAATAATCAATGGATGGCTATCATCCAATATTCAAGTTGCTGGTTTTTAATTATTATGGAACTTGAGGCTTTTTTTTCATTTTACACATTAAAATGTATGGGGGAAGGGAGAGAAAATGTAGAAAACAGAGTAACTCTTAGAGAACTTGTTCTGTTTTTAATTAGGGAATTTTATAAAGATATCTTGTTGCTGTTCTTAAATTAATTCTGCATCAGAAGCCAAGTGATTTTCTGGTCTTGAATAGTAATGATCCAGATTTTCTTTACCAATAATGTATACATTAACAACATTTATATATCAAATATGTTACATTTCTATACAGTACCTCTAGAGTCAACCTTAACTCTTGTCATCAGGCACTACTGACATCATTAGCATATAATTAATTCTAACACAGTAGTGAGTTTATCTTTTACTTTCACAACTGGAAAAAACAGCAATTTAGCTGTAGAATTTAAGGAATTTTGCTCAAATTCTTTCTACATGAATAAATCTAGTAATTTTTTTCACACAAGAAATCAGTTTGGTTTTTTTATATATTTGAAATATAGCACACATGAATTTGCTCATACTCGATGTCTTAAGTTTTATCTGTTTTTCCCCTTATATTTTCCCCTCACAGTTAAAACACTATTGCTTTATGGACTTTCTTCCCCCAAAATAAAAAAAATTCACAATGGAAATGCTGTTTCTATACAATCTCAGTAGCTCCTACAAAAGTAGGGAGAGTTCTTCAACAAACGAAGTTACTTCACTGAATCTTTTTAGAGCTTCTAACTAATCAATACCATGCCCTTGAGATACTTTTAAGATTAAAGAACAATCTTTAAAAATCACAGCTGTGACCCATCCTTTATCCGCAAAGCAAATTACACACGTTCATTTAAGAGTAGACCTTTTTTGCCCATGCAGTGTGAGCAGAGATTACAAGCTATGAAGAGAAAAAGTAAAGATTTCGTTGAGCCTTCGAAGAAAGACATCTTAGCGTTGCTACATTTTCTATGGTTGTTAAATGTTCTAAATTCCTTAAATTCTAGGTTGCTAAATGTCCTAAATCCCTTAAATTCTAATTGTTTCCATTATGTCACGAACACCAAAACACAAATAGAATAAACTCACTTTCAAGAGATGTGCGAGCCAAGGACAGTTCTCAAAGAACCTGCCCGTTAACAGGTGGCGGGGCGGCCGGGAGAGACCTACCTCATCCTACCGCCAGTGCTACTGCCGCCGCCCAGGGGACTCTCGGCCAGGGGCGGAAGCCCTCATCCCACCCACCCAAACTCCCTACATTGCGTGGCAACTAGAGGTGGCGCCTCAGGCCGAGTCTTCCCTCTGCCCCCGGTTTCCGGCAGACTCTGGGAGAAGCACGTGCCTCCCCTCGAAGCCTCGAGCCCCGGGCGGGCGGGCGGGAACTCCGGGCCGGCCTCTGCGCGCCTGACCCCGGGTCCCCCCCTCTCCCGCTCGAGGAGCAGGCTTCGAAGCTTCTAGAAGCTTCTAAAGCCAGGGAGCGGTCGGACCAGGGGGTCGCGTTCAACTTCACCCAGCTCTGGTAGACAGAATGAAGTTCTGCAGTGTCCCAGGCTGACTGGGAGCCCAGTAACAACTGAGGCTCAAGGGTTTGGGTACCTTGCTCCGGAGGCCTCACAGTGGTCCAAGTCCGTGTAAAGTCGCGTCTCTTGGTTACACCTAGAAGCCAAGAGTCCCCACAGAGCGGAGCGGCAGCCGGGGCCAACGAGGCACCTGGGCCTCGGGCGCTGAGGGGAGCGCCCAGGAGATCTACAGCCCAGGAGCCCAGGCCCGGAGACTTGCGCTGGAAAGCGCCTGGCCCCAGCCTCCGGCCTGGGCTCCGCAGCACTGCAGGCCCAGCACTCGAGGGGCCACGCGTTCCGAAAAGTCCGTCTCGGCCTTGCGTCCTGTCCTAGGCGGTGCCTCCGGGGGCGCTGCGGGGGTGTGGCCGCCCCCGGCTTGCAAGGCCGGCGTGCCAGGCCGCCGCCCGGGGCCACGCTCGGTGAGGCAGGGGCTGCGCCCTCCTGCGGCCCTTAGCTGAGTAGGGGAGGACGGGTTTGGTGAAGTGGGAAAAGGAAGGTCCCAGCGAGCGGGACTGGCCGAATCCGGGGGGAGGACGCCGCTTTTTTAAGCCCAAGGTTGCAGCCCTGAGACTTCGCGGGGCGCGGGACCCTGGGGGAGGGGTCGTTCTCGGAACCCGGCCTCGCCGCGGTTTCTCGGGTGTCAGACGGAGTAAAAAGAATGGCGGGTGTTGGTCACTTCGCAGGAAACTTTTCGTTGTTTCCTTATTTCCTTCCCGCCTGTGGGAGCTGGAGCAACTTCTCAACCTCAGACCCAGAAGCTGTCAGGCCCAACAGTCTGGACAGTTCCAGGCGCTGGGTTTTGCTGGGAGCACCACCACCCGAATCTTCCCTCAGAAGAAGGTGAAACTGTCCTTGCCGACCCCCAGCTGTAGGCCGGGGGTCTTCTTTCCCTGCTTTTCCAGGTTTAGTGTTTGTATGTTTAAAAGGAACTTTACAATATGAACAAAGATAATTTGGCTACTTTGGCGCGGACAGAGGTTTTTAGAGGGACACTTTAGCAAGTGGCAGGAATGTCTAGAATTCCCCAACCATGGTGAAGCCACCGGGACAGCTCAGCTGCCGATATGCAGGACACAGATCGGGTTTTTGCTTTCTTTTCCTTTTTGGCTCAGCTCTGAGAGCCTTACAGAGCTATCCTTTCCCGCCTCCCGACCCTCTTCCCCTCCCCCTCTTCTTTCTGGTGCAGGCAATTAGGGTGAAGAAATCAGTGCCAGGATCCTGCCTCTGAAGAGAAAGGAATTGCTTCGGGAATTGAGTCCTGACACCTGTCTCCGTCCTAGATAGGGGGATGCAGGGTCAAAACACCGGGGTTGGGGGAGGCCAGGCTGACGAAGGGTCCAGGTGGGAGTGGGAGGGAGATGTTCCCTAAAAGAATGTTTCTGGGAGTTCCTCTTGCCATGTCTTCCCACCCCATTCTTTGCTTCAAGCTTCACTCAGGTCATGAACACTCAGGTTATTAACGCATTTTCCCTCGCTTTTAGCGCCCTGAGACTGGGACCTGAGGCTGGAATCAAAAGCAACACTGACAAACCTTTCATTAATTTGCATTTATTTTGGGAAATAATGTAGATAAAGAAGAGAAGGGGGACGGCCTTACATTTCAACAAGTAATTTGTGATCTTCACATCGGACAAATCAAATTTACAAATTACTTTCCCACCTACTGGACGAAGCGGCCAAAACCGAAATTGATACATAGGCTCGCAGGCTTTCCAGATTTCCGAGAATGAAGGTGCACTAAAAACTCACTAGTCAAAACAGGGATGTTTAAAACAGAGCAATTGGAACTGGGGTTTGGGCCTGAGTTTGTTCTTCCAAATGCCATATTTTTCACCTTTTCGTTTGTTTTCTTTTGTTTTGGTCTCTAACCCGGAACAGCGACCCTGTGCTTAGACCAAGCAAAGGGCTCAGTCCTGTGCCCCACCCTAGTCTGGCCCCCAACTCTGTACCCTGATTTGGCTGTTTCTTCCACACTCCTGGTCCTCCGCGCTCAGCTTCCTGGAATCAAGCTATTCTCTAATAAATACACAGAGGGAGATGTGAAGAGAGCAGGATAGCTTTGTAACTGGAAAATAAAAGCGCCATCGTTTGAGGAAAACGGGAAGGGGGACAGAGGAAAAATATTTTTAGCTTTTGTTTTTATATATGTATATATGTGTGTGTGTGTGTGTGTGTGTGTGTGTGTGTGTTTCCTGGGCGCTAAGAGGAGATATGCTCAGTTCAACCAACAGCAACTAAAAAGTTTTAAGTGGTCCATGGAACGGACCCGACTATGTACAGCATTCCCGCCGGGGCGGAAGCTTCAACTAGTCCAGCGCAGGGCGGGGACGCGGTTCTGTGCTCGAGGCTAAGGAGCGCTCTTCTTTCGGGCCTGGCCCCACACACCCCGCCGGGAAGAAGGAAAAGCCGGGAAGCTCTGGCTTGCAGGCAGGAAGGAGAAAGGAGGGCAGCCAAGGGGACGGCAGTCTAGGAGGGAGAATCACTTAGTGGTTGTTTTGATTTGGAGTAGTGTGTGGGCGCATTCCAATGGGCAGATACTCGCCAGTTAGTGACTCCAGTGTCCAGAAAGAATAAATAATAGTACTGGGCTCAAACAGTTGGTCATAGCGAAAAGCCTCAGAAGGCTGCAAGTGCATAATAGCTGTCCAGAAAGATGAGGGAGTAACTTAGGTCTGTGGGGGTTGAGAGGGAGAGTACACAACTATCCCGAGGAGAAGGTGTGGGTGAAGCCAAAGCACCGTCCCCATTCACTGGGTAGGCGCGTTTGCACATCCCCAGAACAAGTGACACAAAGATGGGGGGGGGCAGTGCAGGCAGTGGGCATCTTTTAGGGGTATGAAAATTCAGTTTTGGAGAAGCCGAGGCAAAGGCGGGCAGTGCAGCAGCAACAACAGGATGGGGACCACCGAGGGCACAGGTAGTTGTGTTTTTTCCTTTTCCTTTCCCTCCTGGGCTCACAAAACCTGGAACCGCCAAGAGGCTTGGTCCTTATAGTCCAGACAGTCGGGCGAATTGAAGTTGAGTTTCCAGGCCGAGGAAGCAGCAGCGGCGCCAGGCTCCTTGTAATCCAAGCAGTCAGCAGAGTTGAAGGCAAGCCCCGAGCCCCCGTAGCCTTGGTGGTGGTGGTGATGGTGGTGATGGTGGTGGCCTGAGGACTGGCTCAGCGGATGATGTGCATGCGGGTGGTGATGATGGTGGCCTGCCATGGAGGAGGGTGCCATGGGGCTGAGCTGGTGCGGGTGGTGATGCGAGTGCATGGGCGCTAGGTATGAGCTGCAGTCCACGCCGCCAAAGTAGGAAGAGGAGGGCGCGGGGTAGCCCTGGCCATAGCTGCCACCCTGGCCATAGGACATGGGATAGGAGGCTGCTGCTGTGGCGGCCCCTGCGGCCACAGAGCGCTGCATACACGAGGCATTGCTCGGCGCAGCCAGTGGCTCGGGTACGGACACAGACGCGGCCGCTGAGCCGGGCGAGATGGAGGCCGGGCTCCAGATAGACGAAGCCGAGGGCGTACTCAGCGACGGCGCGGCTGCCACCGCCGGGTTTCCCAGGCCCGCAGCGGCCGCCGGGATGGCGGAGGCGCTGGATGCCGAGCTAGAGGATGAGGCAGAGCTGGATACAGCGGGCGGCGTGAACTGGCCGCTGCTCTCGGAGCCGGAGCTCTCCCGCACTGGAGAGGATTTCTTCTTGACGGGGCGGCTCTTGGTTCCGCTCCCGCTCTGCTGCTGCTGCCGGCACTTGGCGCGGCGGTTCTTGAACCAGACCTGCAGCGGGCCAGGGGAGGAGAGCAGGTCAGCGTAGAGTGGAGTTACCGCTCCTCCGCCCCTCGGACCCACCACCCCGCCCAGGCTCTCGAGTCCCTCTCCAACCAAGCCTCCGCCCCTCCCCGTGTCGGGCCTGCCAGACGCTGCCCCTCCCCCACAGCCCTTTCCCAGCTCCCGCCCCCCCCATCTGTCTGCGCAAAGCCCCTCCTCAGCTGGATCGAGAGTAGGGATGCGCACCTCCCCACCCCTAGTGCAACTCTGCCGGAGGGCGGGACGTTTGCATCTGTCCAGCCAGTTCAGCCATCTCTAAACTGCTCCTGTTGGCTGTTTCCCTACAGTCCTGTGTCTGTTTCGAGAACCTGGTTTTGTATGAACAGAGCTCAGGAAACTGCAAAGAGGCACTGAGCAGCAGAATGAGAGGCAGCCACCAACTGTGGGTCTGGGGCCCAGGCAGTTCCACTGAGTTGGCTCCTGGAGACCCACGCTGGGCAGGCGAAAATGTTTGGGTGGGAGCAGGAGTAACGCTGGAGGCTGAACAGAGGCAGCACTCGAGTGCTTCGGGCTTCTCGGCAAGGAAGCCTGGGTGAGATTTCGTTGGGCTTTTTGGCTCTAGGCAGGTCTAGGAGGTCCCACTCCTCTTGGAAGGACCGGCACATGGCATTGGATTACTGGTCTTTTCTCGAGCCTTCAGGGAAACACGGCTAGACAAAAGACCCTTGAGGAGAGTTCTTAGTTTGAATCCGAACAGTGTTTTCGGAGCTCTTTCATTTTAAGAACATAAATAGCAAGGCCGGCAGCTCCCTACACAAAAAGTGTCTAATCAGACTGACTCCTCCCATACAGTGTCCTCCCAGGCAGAGCATCGGGCTCCGGCCAAGTTCCACTCTTGTCCTTCCAGGATCCCCGGGACATAAGGCAAACGCAGAGGCAGAATTCAGGCTTCCAAGAGACAACCTCCCAAGCCTTTGGATGGCCGAAAAAGCAGGGACAAGTATTGGATCCTCGGGGCACTTTACGTCTGACAGCCTAGCTCTCCTCCCAAAATCCTAAAAAATGATTTTAATACCAAAGGCCCCCGGGGAGCAAGGGCTGGAATCCAGGGCTCTAAGTCATTTCCTTTAACTTTGCCCCGTTTTCATGGCTGACGCCCAGCACTAGGGGGAGTCCGAGAGGAGCTGCCCAGTCTGTAAGCCCACCCCCACACCAGACCACCCTTCCCAGACTTTCCCGGACCTATTCCGGCGCGCCTACCCTGACCCTAGAGCCCCTAGAGCTCGTACCTGAACTCTGGACTCCGGAAGGTTGATTTTCAGCGCCACCTCCTCGCGCATGAAGATGTCAGGGTAGCGAGTCTTGGCAAAGAGCGCCTCGAGCACGTCCAGTTGTGAGCGCGTGAAGGTGGTGCGTTCCCGTCGCTGCTTCCGCGGGGTTGCTGCAGGGACATGCGGGGGGGGGGGGCTTCGGGTCAGTGGTGGCTAAGCCAACTGGTACTAGAGGCCTCGGACAGGTCCCCTGGCAGTCCCATAACCCGGCTTTGCCAAGAAAAAGTCAAGTTCTGAGCAAAAGGAATTCCCCTGGGAGCCGAGCCTGATAGGCCACAGGTGGGATGAAGTACCTGGATTCAACTAGGGGCCTGTGTCTCCAAGACACTAAAGCTACCCTCCTCCCAGCCTCTCAGAGGTTAAAAAGGAAAAGATGCCGCACAATTTCCTTCCCCCACGTCTCCCTACACCCACCCCACTCCTTGGCTAGCAGATAAAGAACAAGGAGGAGGTCCTCAGAAACACCACCTGGAAAACACTTTCTCAGGAAATAAATGGAAGCAAAAAAGAGGGAGATAGAAAAACCCAGAGTTCTACTAAAGTTGTCCACTACACCAATGCAAAAGTTGGTTTAGGCCACTGGTCTAGAGGACTACTGAATTAGGGAGGAAGAATCCTCCTACTCCAGTGTAGCCAGGCGCTTGGAAAAAGGCAAGTCTGGCTCTCTTATGTCTGGGCCTAGTGAGTGTCCAGATTCTTCATTCAGTGTTGGAATGGAAAGACCAGATTCACAAAAAGCAATGGTCACCCATGGGAAATGAATTCATGGGTAAACCGCTCTATGAAAGAGATAGTGCAGGAGACAAGTTGCTGGAGTAGACAGACCCAGAACGCACACATTGCAGTTTTCCTGACCACCTCACAGACCTGCAACTGTGCTCTGTGTGCCTGCAGCAGGCCCACATGGTATAAGGAGAGGCTAGGCATCTGAATCTGGGACTGTTTGATGATCAAGTGGGTTCAAACTTGAGAGGCTGGGGGTCCCCAATTTTTGCAGGGTCTAGGGCAGGGTTGGAAGTGCCAAGTGCTCACCCGGATAGCCCACGGAGGGGTGCAGGAGGTCCATGGCAGGCCCAGCCAGGCCCAGACCATTCATGCCATATGGAGGTTGTTTGAGGTAAGACATCATGCTAACAGCCGGGTGGAGGCGCCCCGACGGATCCAGGGGGCCTGAGGCCAGGAGCAATACAGGGCTCCTACCACGGAATCAATCCTTCAAGCTGTTGCTTCTGGGGGGCCTGGCCTATAGAGACACAGATACAAGATATGCGCACGGAAAACATCACTCAGTACCACTTCAGCTTCTAGGTTTTGTCCCAGGCAAGGAGCCCTTGGGTAGGGAGAGGGTGCAGGGTACATACACACAGGGCAGTAACAAGGTCTTTAGCTAAGTGACCACAGCTTATCTTAAAAGTAAACTTTCTGGACAGTCATTGCTTCTTTGAGGGGTTGGCATGGGCCAAAGATATTTGTCAGAGTGAGAAGAGTTAAAATCATGGCCATGCTGGGGAGGTCAGAGCCAGAACTACAGTGTGCAAAAGCCTAAATGTAAGCAAAATTTTAAGTCTAGCGGCTTGGTGCCCAGATCTCAGGCTGCCGAGAGCGTAAGGGGTTGTTTAGTTTTGTTTCAACCCTTTTTGAAAACGGGACATAAAAGGGCTAAAATGAGGCAATGAGGAGTGGTGACTGCACCTTAGCCTCTTGGGAAGCATTGTCCACTTGGCAGACGTGGTTTCTTCAAAGGTCTCCATGGCTTGCCCCTGCCCCAGAGTCCGCATCACTACCCCAGCTGACCTTTCTGTGCCCAGCCACTGAGACATCGCTTATCACGGATCCCACCGCACCTCACCGCAGTCACGGCCCAGACCCCACAGAATTAGCCAAAGAAAACCGAGGGGCCATAGTAGAAGTGGCAGTTCCAGGACACCGCCCGAGGTCTGAAGTGCCTCAGTCTCGGCCACCGCCCTTCTCTGCCCACTCAAGCCAGGCCTTCCTTCTATTCAATCGGGTTTGTGCACAACCGGATCCTATCACGGGATGAAGAGTGGCCAGTCCAGCGCCCTACAGGATCTCGGGGATTTGGGAAGCCTTAGTACAGCCGGTAGTGTGCGCTTCCTGCTATCCCCATTAGCTGACCCGCGGCCCCAGGACTCAACTGAGTATAGAGAACTAGGCCTCAGCAAAGCCCACGCAGACACGAGCTGGAAGGTCGAAACTTCGTTTCCGCCGCTGCTCAGAATCAGGGACACTACTCTCAGAGGTCAAGAAGGAAAACTGGGTAGTGATACTGGAGACCCCTAGGGCCTTATCACTACACTTCGCTTTTCGAGAATTCTGTAAAGCAGGCCAGGAACACAGACCAGGGAATTCAGGGAGGGAAGTCAGAGCTAAAGCAACTCCCCATCCCAACCCCCAACCCCACTCCCGTCCTCTAGGACTCATGGCCGGGGCCAGGGGATCCCAGCTTCCAAGGAAAGGAACGAAAAGCAGAACAGTCGGGACTCGCTCTTCGGCCGAAGGAAAATGGGACTGAAGCCCTGGCGGTTCTGCTAGGTTGCAACCCGAGTTTTCAAAGACTTTCTCCAAACTTAGCACTTCAGCTCGGTTACTTCGGAGGAGGCGGGGCAGGGGGCACCGGGCCGCTGCAGCGGTCTAGGGTCCTCAGCGCACCCGAAGGGGAGCCAGGCCTCTACCCCGGCCCCGCCCACCTTCCCAGGTCCGTCGAAGCAGGGATCGGTTTAAGTAGGGGGAGGCAAGAGTAACCAACACGCTCCGGAGTCGCGGACGGCCCCACGGCTTTCTCCTTACCTGCCCTCAGCTGCCCGGGCCGCTCACCATCTACCTCTCGCCTTCACAGAGACCAGCCGGGCAGCCAACCTGGAAAACAGAGCGGCACAGGAATTACCCTGGCGGCTGACCTAGGACCCCCAGGTTTCTTTCTTTCCCCAACTTCCTTCCTCCCATCTCTCTCTCTCTCTCTTTTGCAGTAGCTTTGTGCGTGTCCCTTCAGGTTTCACTTTATTGCACAGACACTTTGTTTGCAAAGCCCCACACTCTCCCAGGACATTGCCTCTCCAGGACCGCGCCGAGGGGCCCCCAAGGGGGAGGGGGATTCGAGGGGCAGAGTTGGGAGGTGGCTCGAGGTTGCCGCTGCACTCCTGGTGCAACGTGGAGGCGGTGGGGACTGGGAAGTCCTGCAGAGTCACTTTGCAAACTAAATAAATCAAGCGATTTACCTTGTCGGAGTGGCTTGTCTTGCTCGGTTGTTTAGGTGATTGGAAATGTAGCCTGATGAAGATTGATCACCTTTCTACTGCCCTCCCCGGGTATGTGAACGCGAGGCGAGTGCGTAACGGGGCTAGGCCGCCAATCCAGGGCCCCACACGGGCTGAGTGACAGCTAGCCGGGCAATGGCTGCTCGAGCCGGGGTTACCTCCGCGCACCCCCGCCTTCCCCCGCCCCCTATACCCCGCCCTCAGCTCCCGCCCACCCCGCCCGGGTCGCGCGCTAACTCTGGGGCTCCTCTGGCAAATTCCGCGCGGAGCTAGGAGAGACGAGGAGGAACGGAGCGCCTGAGTGCCGAGCGGAGAGGCCCGTGGGTCCTGAGGCCTGTCTGGGGGCCTCCACCCTTCTGTTGCCCTCTCGGCGCTTCCGAGGGAGTGGCAGAGAGGAGGCGAAGTCTTGGATAACCAGTTTCTTCTCTCTTCCGCGCGCCAATGGCTCCGCGGCCAGAGTGTGGGCGCGAGGACTTGGGGGCAGCAGGCTGGAGGAGAGCCGGCCTCTCTCGCCGTGCCTTGGGCCCCAGCGTCTCTTTTCTCTGCACCCCACCTGCAGACCGACGCCGCGGGCGGCTCGTGCCAGTGCAGGCTACGGTGCAGAGCGCGGGAGCCGATCCCTCCTCGGCGCCCCGGGACTCCCGCTCCCGGGAAAAGCACCCGCAGGCAAGGCGCCGCCACTTACCAGCTCCTCGGCGTCTCCAGGGGTACCGGAACCCCACCAAGGGTGACTGCAAGTCTTCTGAACCTTCGGACCCCAGCGTCCCTTTCTTTCTCTCACACACACACCTTCTCAGTCCTATGATCTTGATAGAAAACTCTTTTTCACACTCTTCTGTCTCTCCTTCCACGTCCCCACCTACTCGGATTAGTCTGGTGGAAAATGTGGTTACAGACCCCTGCCCCTCAATTTCTTTCCCACCTGCTGAGGAAGGAGCCTTCTCTAGGCTATTTCCCCGGATTGTTCGTATTGGCGAAGCCCATTTCTCAGTCGAACAAACACTTGCCAAGTACGTTTACCTGTGTGGACTTTTCAAAGCGTAAGAAAAGAATTTTCGGCCCAACCCTGAACAAGGCAATTCTTTTATATGGCACCTCTTCATGAATATTGGGCACGACTTTGCTCCCTTTCCAGGAATTCCTAACCCCTTCCTCTTAATCTATCCCCACTCCTATCCCACCACCGGGCGGAGTGAAAAGTTTGAACAGGAGTGAAGGCGAGTCAAGGAGCTGCCAGGCGCACCGCCTTGTGGAGCGCTCGCTTTGCCCTGGCCGGCTGGGGTTGGGCACCGCAAACTGACCGGGCGCTGGGTGAGGAGGAGAAGGAAGGGGGAGCCCGCTGAGTGAAAGGGGGCCGCAGCCGCCACTCATCAAAGTGCTTCCCCTTCCCCCAAGCGACACTTTCCTTTGGAGTCCGAATAAAATACGGTAACAGAATATGATGGAGGCCACACTGTTTCCTTAACTGCTTCTCAAAGGACCCGGGAGATCTTCTTAGGACCTTTAATAAGGCTTTGGTCGGTTCTTTTGTTGATCTCTCAAAATCAACTCCTTCTAATTGAAGTTGGAGCTGAAAGCGAGCTAATGTTCAAAGAAAGTGGCCGCCAGACCAACGAAATTACATTTTTTTTTGGACGACAAGGGAACATCTAATCAAAGGGGCAGGGAAGGAGGGGTGGGAGTGGGGGACTACGAAGGAGAAAAGGAGGTTTTACAAGATCCTTTTCTTGGTTCACAAAAGTCAGCGACACGGGCGCTTCTCTCTAGAACAAAGACACCGGGGCCCATTCACAAACAGGAGAGAAAGAGAAAGCAGAATAAAAGAACGAGAGGAAAGGAAAAAGGAGAGAGAGAAGAGAGAGAGAGAGAG